CCTGATGTGTTTGTCAATCACAACCCTGTACTTGTGCGAGTCTGCGCCTGACAATGATGCAGGCCACCAGTGCTACCGTTTCTCTGAGAAAAGGGAATCAGTGGTAATAGAAGTCATGAAGGAACTCATCTTGTGTACCTTAGCGAGATGATGATCTGGATGGGATTGCCTACCGGCTTCTTTTGCCCCAGATTGTCCAAGTCAGAAGTGAGAGAATGACATAGAGCAAAGCAACTCATGTGCACAACTATACTCGGCCGCGCAAGGATGGCAGCACCAGGCGCATCCAATGCCGCTGGCGTGAGGAAGTCCGGAGCAGAGCGTCCCACTGTAATCGGGGCTGCGGCGACGAGTGCCGCAAGACGAGTGCCGCAACAGGCGCGTCCGATGCCGCTGGCGTGAGCAAGCCCAGAGTAGAGCGTCCCACTGGAATCGGGTCTGCGACGGCGATGGCCGCACCAGGCACGTCTGATGCGGCCGGCATGAGGAAGCCCAGAACAGAGCGTCCCACTGGAATCGGGGCTGCGGCGGCGATGGCAAACGAAGAACGAATACATAACACATGAGCACACGAGAACAACCTTCGCTGCAGGGGCTGCTGCTTGGATCCTGAACGTCGGCGAATGGGCGAGAGAAGGGGAAGGGATGAGATTGGAGTAATGAAGAGACGGGAAGGAAAAGTGATTGAGTAATAATTGTTCGGTTCGTGCCAGGGAAAGATATTATTCTCTTTTATTTCTTCCCTGCTCTTTACAAAAAACTGAACGCTTATGATGATTATGGTGACTTTGCAAACTGATTGATGACATGGCATAAAGCTGATGTGGATAGTGTGCATGATGAAAGAATAAGTAGAAGTGGGGAGCAACTTTTTAAAAATGGTAGATGTGGATTACGGATATCTCAAGAAAACATTTAGTGTGTGCTGACGTGGCATATCGTTGAGGTGGATAGGTTGCATATTGAGATAATAGAAGTAGTGGGGATGAACTTCTTAAGTATATAGGATATCATCCATCTTCATCCCCGTCCAGCAAGCCTATGAAGAAATTACTCACTCCCAGTGGTTAGCATCATGAAATTGTTGATGAAGAAGGGTTGTTGATGACGATGGCGACGGATCCCCCTCTCCAGAGCCCCGAACGAACTCCAAATCAGCCATCCCGATAAAGAACGGGAGGTGACAGCGGCTCCGTCTCGTAAAACGCGATAATTCTTCCTTCCTGATTTTTCTCTCGAGAAGACGGTACTTATGGACTTGGAGGTAGGGCAAGCGGAGGCTCGAGGGACCACAAGCTTGGGTGGCTCGCCCTAGGGATATATGTGATTTTTGGGCAAAGGAATCAACGCAAGACAGTGCCCAAGGGCCCCACATGGATAGGTGGAGGGCGGTGGATGTCGGTTGGAGCCCTTCTTTTACCGCAAGAAAGCTAATTTTATGAAAAAATCCACTCAAAATTTCAGGCGAATCGGAGTTACGGATCTCCAGCAATAAAATAAATTGCGTTTGGCCAAAAAAACAGTGCCGAAAAGCGGAGAACCACATAGAGAAGAGATCGAATCTCGGAGGAGCTCCCGCCCCTCCGGTAGTCATGGTGGCCAAGGACCAGATGGGAGAACCTCTCCCCATCTAGGGGGGCATGGAGGAAGAAGCCGGAGGGGGAGACTCTCTCCCTCTCTCTCCTGATGGCTCCGAAGTGCCGCTAGGGAAACCATCATCGCGTCGGTCGTCATCTTCATCAACAGTTTCATCACCTTTCTCAACCCACTGTAATCCCCTACTTGAGCATGGTGTTGGATGCTATGGATTATTATATGATGATTTCACGTCTTCGTTGTGTTTGAGCGGACTATCGTTGTCCTATCGGTTAATTAGTGAATTTCCATGATTGTTTGAGTTGCTTGTGGTCATATTAATGTCCTTTGGTGCCCATCATTTGAGTGCGCCCATGGATCATATCTTAGGCTAGTAGTACACTGATAGGACTATGCATATGGGGGCATGAGTGATTGAAACCTCTCCAGACCATGAAAATTGGTACATACTGGATTAAAGTGGGACCAATATATCTTAACGCTATGGTTAGATTTTTACCTTCATGAACTTGTTAGTAGTTACGGATGCTCGCTAATAGTTCCAATCATAAGTGCATAAAAATTCCAAGTAAGGAATTACATGGTAGCAGAGACATCTCCCACATATAAACTTGCGATGATGATTGGTATAGTAACTTAGCTAATTTCCTAAGGACAATTCCGCACACCATACCACCACCTTGGGCGGTTGGCCGGTATGGATCGTTTACCTAATGTTTGAAGTGCACTCCCTTTGCTACTGGTATTTCCGCCTTTTTTCTTCAAAAAAGGAGGATAACCCCCGGCCTCCGCATCAATCAATGCATGCAACCATGTTTATCATTATTCAACAGAGTCTGGTAGAATGAATACAAGGATCAACCCGAAGACACCTATCTGGCGAACAAAGTCGCAACACCTATAATATCGATAATGTGCCCGAACCGCATGAACACGCACTATTAATCCGGTGGCCTCACGTAGCTGCCCCACATGGGGCCGAGTGTTTCACCTGGTCTAGCTGACCCGCAACACGCACCACGTGCACACGCCCTGGATCCGCCATATATACCCCTTTTATTTGTCTCTCCCGTTCGTTTAGGAGGAAATAAGGGCAATGTCAGGAGCATGTCTCCAATTTGGCATCCAGAATCAAGGGTAACACATGCAATGCTCTAATAGGGCCATTTTGGTGGCAAGCTAGATGTAAGGAACCATGATGCCCTCATCGATGTATTGAAAAGATCTTTTGAGGTACACAGAGCGTCAGTTTTGGCTGGAGTGCACTGTGATATTAGACCTCGAATTGTTCTTTTTTAAAACGGAGGCAAAAGATTAATTAAAAGGTTTTGCAGAGATCCCCTCCCGGGCCCCGCTTCGCTCCACTTGGGGCGACGCGAGCGGCGACTCAACCCTAGCCATCGAACCCCCTCCGCCTCCCTTCCACTCCTCGCCGCCGCCAGAGGGGTTGCCAGCGAAGGCTGCACGACTGCCAAGGAAGGCGGCGGCGAGGCCTTGCTGCTTCGTCTTCTCGCGGAGGGCTTCGGAAGCCGAGGCGGTGGCCTTGGGTGGTGCGGCGACGCCAACTCTGCAGCAAGCGGCGCTCGTTGGTGCTCCTCCCCCCCCTTGGCCGTGCGGGCGGCAAGCGGTGGAGGCGTCGGGTGCAGGTCGCGACGGGTGGCCTGGTGCCCTTGGCTGTGAGTCAGATCTGGAGGTCCTTCCTCCCCCTTCCTTCGCCTTTTCCCTGCTGGATGTGGTTCGTGGCGGCCGCTGGTCGCCAGATCCATGGAAGGTGGGGATGTCGGAGGTGTGAGATCGGTCCGAGAGAAATCTTTGGCCGGCTTTCCGGTCATGACGGCGGCGACGCCTGCTAGCGCCGCTCCTCTTCTCGGAGGAGCCGTCGAGGTTCGGTCCCCGCCCCCTCCCTTCTTATACCCGGGTGAAAACCTTACCAGTTCTGGGATTGGCGGCAGCGGCATGGCATGCGTCGTCGCCTTCCTGAAGGTGCCGTCTTGGGCGAGTTGGGGGTGTGCACTGGTGTTTCGATGTGGTTTTCTGGCGAGCAACGACATGGCAGTTGGAGGTAGCGTCGGGGTGCCAATTTTCGCAAGATTAGCTCCTTGTAATTGTCTGTAGACATGCCGTGTGTGTGTGTGTGTGTGTGTGTGTGTGTGTGTGTGCAGCAACACGGTGTGGTAGGGGAGGGGATGGGGTTCCTCTCCCAGTTAGCAGCAACACGGTGTGGGCGGTCTGGACATGGTACTTAATTCATTGAGCATTGATCTTATCTCAGCTACGGTCGCTTATCAACTCCGCTATTTGTTCCATCGGCGCCCTCGTCCTTCGGCAGCTTCGCTTCTTCGTGTATGATCCAGTGAGCTGCAGATGGGCTCTTCTCCTGGCAATCTTTGCGTAGTAGGTTGGTCACGCTGAGAATCTCCCAAGGTGCTCCAGAATCTATACCGTTCCTTGCCCTAGGATGAGTTGCTCCAATTTTCAACGGTCCGGCGCCCTTCGATCCAGGGTGAGGGGCAGGGGTCCCCTTCGGAATTGGAGAAGGAAGGTTCGGTGACGGTGGTCTCCTTTCGAAGGAGATGAGGGTGTGTTCATCTTCACTAGGCGGGATTTCCTCTTGAAGTTATCCTGCTGTCATGCTTCGGTGTTTCATTCGCATCAAAGGGCTCCTTCAACATTAAGCTAGTTTTCCTGTAGAATTTTTTTGTGCTTTCTGTTGTGGTGCTTGTAGGCTGCTATTGTAGCACCTTGTATCTTCCGTTCTAAGTTTCTTTGTTTTTCTTTCTCGCTGTATGGGCGGTTGTAATTTCTGGCCGGTTGATGGCTTTGTTAATTCAAAGCCAGGTTCTGCTTGAGCCTTCGTTCTAAAAATAATAATTAAGGGTTTCTTCCCTTCTATCTCCTTCAAAATGAACCCGGGAGACAAATGAAAGAGACATACTGCCCAAATTGCAATTGTTTCTTTGGTTTTGAGTCCTCGAATGGAAATCTGCTGTAGTATTAGGCCCTCGTTTAACGAATACACATGGGTAAAAAGCAAAATGAATGTCGAATACTATCCATACAAATAAAGGAGACAAAGATCAAGGTGGGAATTTTCATGTATTAACGCTTTTGATTCAATTATTAAAGTATGCTGTATTGGACTTGCAGCCCCAGTTACGCAGAAGTACAAGCACAGAAGCGGATGACCGGATTCAGTATGCGCTGATGTGGATCGTTTTGGGATCTCTGTAGTTTCAAAGGCAAGTAAAGGTCTTATACAAGCTGCATCAGGCCAAATTTCGTGTGCTTCACTACACGATGTAAGGTAAACAGAAGCAAACTGTGGCGACTTCCGTTAAATTCAGGTTTTAGTTGAGTTTCTTCGACATGGGCAGGGACCCCATCGCAAGTGCTGGTTGGGAAGCTCAGAGCTTTGACAGCGCTATGTCCATCACATCGACAAAGAAATCTGCATTCATCACCACCAAAAACAAGGATCCAGTCAATTTTATGTGCAACTTGTACACAAATACTCATTCGCAAAAAAATAAACTTGTACACAAATACTGTATGTATTACACAGCACAAGAATCAAAGTGGATGAAACAACTTACCAGCGTCTTCCTTGGTGAAGCACAGAGGGGGAGTGATTCTGAACACGTTGCCGTAAAAGCCCCCCTTTCCGACCAAAACGCCCATATCTGCACTCCAAACCAGCAAGTTAGGGTGTGTTTGGTTGCGTTCTCGTCTCAGCGTAGTTGTTCCCTCTTCATGCATGCTTTCTTCATGCATGCTTCTAGTGTATTTGTGCTAAGCTAGTGTGGACTCATGCATTCTTTATACACTCTACCAAACACTTAAAAGTGGGTCTGAGAAGAAGGAAACTCTTGGGCTCATACACCCTACCAAACACACCCTCGGTGCTCAGTGTTAGACACAAAGAAGTTGTTCCAAACCAAGTAGGAGTAGTACGCACTAGTACCTTTCATGTGCTCCATGGCCTGGCAAATCTCGTCTTTGGCCGGGGTCTTGAGCTGCCGGTCGGTCACAAGCTCGACGCCAAGCATGAAACCTGTTCCCCTCACGTCGCCGATGACTGCAAGAGCAAAAAAGTTAGAGCCAACCCACCGTTTTTAATGTCTCTAACGATGCCGGGTGGTGAGTATGTACTAGGAGTAAGATGCATGCACAAACTTTGGTGCTTCTCCTGGAGGCCGCGGAGGCGGTCTTTGAGGTAGGCGCCGACGATGAAGGCGTTCTCCTGGAGCCTCTCCCTGTCGAGCACCTTGAGGACGGCGAGCCCACCGGCCGTGCACAACGGGTTGCCGCCGAACGTGTTGAAGTAGGACCGCCTGGTCAGGACCTGCGCGATCTCCGGCGTAGTCACCACGGCGCCCAGAGGGATGCCGTTGCCGATGCCCTGCGTGGCAATTGTAAACAAGTGGTCAGGAAGTGTGCTATGTGTGCGCCCGTCTAGTTGTTTCGTGCACCTTTGCCATGGTCACTATGTCAGGGATCACGTCATGGGTCTCGAACCCCCAGAAGTGGCTGCCGACGCGCGCGAAGCCCGCCTGGACCTCGTCGGCGATGCAGAGGCCGCCGGCCTTCCTCACGGCGTCGTACGCCAGGGGCAGGTAGCCAGGCGCCACCTCCACGATCCCACCAACACCCTGCAAGCCAAAGGGAAAGCCTCAGCTATGCTCACGTCATGTGCACTACCACTGCCGCCCCGCCCATGGGAGGACGCTCTGCTCTGTTCTGGTGACTGACAGTGACGTACCTGGATAGCTTCGGATATGAAGCCGGCGACGTGGCCCGTGGTACCGAAGTCGATGATCTCCTTGACGTCTCGCGCGTACTTCTCGCCGTCCGAGCCGAAGGCGCCTCTGTAGGGGTCCGGGTTAACGGCATGGTGCACGCCACTCTTGAGCAAGCGATCAAAGAAAAGGTTCAGTGTTCCGGGCACCAAGGATCACTACTGTATTCTACTCTCATGCCGCTTCCGGCGAATCTTTTGATCATACTACTACGTACGTACCTGAACAACATTGAACTTCCAGTTCTTCTGTGCGGTGGCACCCATGGTGCCGGAGGCGTTGCCGTGGTAGGAGTTGCGGAGAGATATGATATCGTGGGAGCCGGTGTACAGCCGAGCCATCATCATGGCCAGGCCTCCGTGCCGGAGTTGGTGAAGAAGACGACCTATCGTCCAGCATGCACCCCCCGCAACGTCACGTTACTTTGTATACGCGACAAGTAATAATAATGCAAAAACAGTAGTGACGCGTGTGCAGCAGTTTGTTCAATTTATTATGTGCGTGCGTGCGTGCCTTGAGATCGCCGGGCATCTTGGCGGCCAGCGCCTCGGCGAAGTCTGCGATGGCGTGGTTGAGGTAGAGCACGGTGGAGTGCTGCAGGCGGTTGGCCTGCGCGGTGATGGCGTCGATGATTTCGGGGTGGGTGTGGCCGCAGCACACGGTGGCGATGCCGGCGAACGCGTCCAGGTAGCGCCGCCCGTGCTCGTCGTAGAGGTACTGTTTCTTCCCCTCCACAATGTTGAGCTGCAAAGGGCCATTAATTTGTTGACAAGAGTTGCAACAGAATTTTACTCTACGTACTCGTACTTTGTTAGATGGTTTCAACAGAGAGATCGATCGAGAAAGAACACTGACGGGCTTGGAGTAGAAATGGAACAGGGAGGGGCTGAGGAACTCGGCGCGCTTCCTGGCGATCTCGACGGCGCTCGGCCCGTCGTAGGGCAGCGGCACGTGGTCGAACGCCGGCATTCTCGGCACGTCCACCGGCGTCCTAACCGCCGCGGCGAGCCTAGAAAACGATCTCCTAGCCCCCAGCATCTCTACTGCCCACCTGAATGGAATATGTTGCGATCACCCGGTGTGATTCACTTCCCTTGAGTCGAGTGTAGGAGAGGAGGAAGGGTTCACGAGAGAGACGGGGTGTGGCGGGAGGGGTTTATAACCTGCGAAAGCTACTCTCTTGGGAATGAAATACTACTATCAATCAATCTGCGACTCTATTGCCAAAATACAAGACCGCAGTTACCGGCAGCTAATTGGCTATGAATCTTTTTGAGCGCTTATTGGGCAATCTCACACGCGAGTGCTCGAAATGGATGCTGGTTTGCAGGGATTGGGTTATTATTAGTAGGAGTATTTCGCATCACCGGGAAGAGAAGGGGCTACGGTTAGCAGCTTGCTGTTCCCATGAATCTGGACAGTTTCCCTTTTGCGATCAGGGTTGTTGGGCTCACAGGCATGATGAACGGTACGAGACGTCGTGGTCTAGTTTTAGCCAACGTAACTTTACTGTACCTACTAGTGCCTACCAGAGTCTGAGTGTGAGTGGTGAGTGCCTCGGAATTCTACCTGGTTCATTGAACCTAGACGTGCCGTTGGAAAGACGAAAGAAGACCAAAACAGAAGCGAGGGATACAAGCGATAACGTTTGTTGTATCTGCCTCTTCGCTTCGATGCATCCTAAAACAACATTGTTACTGCAGTTTGTTTGATTGATTTAGACATGTTTTTAACTGCTACATACTGCTAGGGGTGTTCAAATCCGGCGTTGGAAGAGACCATCGAAACCCGGCAACCAGCGCGCTAGTTTACTTTCCTTCACAAGTCACATCTACTCATCCAAACATACTTCCTCCGTTCAGTATAAGATGCTTTTGGATATTTCAACATATATTATATACAGATTGAAATGAGTGAACAAACACACTAGAATGTATCTATGTACGTCTGATTCAGAAAAAAAGAATCTCGTCTAGATACGTTTATTTCAGCGACAAATAATATAGACCGGAGGGAGTAGAACATCATATATTTGTGAACCAAGGGAGTAGTAGTTACTCCCTCCGTCCGGAAATACTTGTCATCAAAATGGATTAAAGAAGATGTATTTAGACGTATTTTAGTTTTAGGTGCATCCTTTTTTATTCATTTTGATGACAAGTATTTTCGGACGAAGGGAGTACAAAACAGAACATGGGTTGAACTGAACCCGTGTTCCATGTGTGTCGATTGAGTGCTTCTTCTGCCTTCCTACTCCCTTCGTCCAAAAATACTTGTCATTAAAATGAATAAAGAGAGATGTATTTAGAACTAAAATACATCTAGATACATCTCCTTTTATTTATTTTGATGACAAGTATTTCCAGACGAAGGGAGTACTTAGGAGGATATGGATGTGCCCCCGGCTGTTCAGAATCTCCGCTGTCTACGTAAATTAACGAATTTTTTAGGGGATTAACGAAAGTAGCTGAAATGAAAGCAGTTGGGCAAGTAGTCAGACACGGCAGCATTTCTCTTAAACAAACCATGGATTGGATTCAGGCATATACGTGGTGTGACATTGATTAGGGAACACACCATAGCGATCTCAATCAAACAAGTAGTGTCAATTGCGACGAGACATTAAAAACAACCAGTGGCATGGGCAAATGAATTAACAACAAATCATGTATCATGTACTCCCTCGGTCCAAAAATAAGTGTCTCAACTTTATATACTAACTTTAATACAAAGTTGTATTAAGATTGAGACATTTATTTTGGGACGGAGGAAGTATGTGCCAGTATGCTGGTTCGAGTTCTATGCATTATAGATAGTGCTATACATTATCCGAAGAAAGTTTGACAACTGCGCAGATTTGTTTTGGCCCGTATTTATTCAATCTGGCCTAGCTTGATAAAGTTGCACACCATATTTGGTGCACGTGTTCTCCCTTCTAATGCTAATCAGCTTCATCACACACACACACTAAACTTTGCATGATATGCTTCATTAAGGGCTTATAGAGAGGTATGCTTTGGTTGAACTATGTCATCAAATGTCATGTGTATCTGTGTCGTATTGCCGTGATTTCTCCTTTTATCGGTAGATGATACCTACTCCGTCCGTCCCAAAATAAGTATCACCTTTTTTGAGACGGAGAGAGTATTTTGTAACAAATCATGTAACTTTCACCTTAATCAATTTACTTTAGCTGGACTGCCTCTCTTCTAGAAAATAAATGTCTTGAGCAAGTAGATGCTCTATTGAGGGAAAAAAGAGTTGGTATGTGTTGACGTGTAAATGTATTATCTAGTCTCTTTCATTAGATCGATTTTTTGGTTGCATTCGATAGAGCATGCACTAATATTATTGGCTCATGTGTTGCATCATTTGTTCAGGAGTAGTGTGTGTGGAGCATGCTTCCTAGTTGGATCCACAATGGAGTCACACTTAGTCCTTATCTGATTGCCTAGCAGTAGTCGATTAGCTTTCCTTGTTTAAGCTTTGGATTTGAGTTTAGACGTGATCCCCAGCCTGAGGCTTGCTCAGACATCACTAACTTTCAGCTAACCCATGAGCTCGTCAGTTCGCATCATCGTTTTGTACGGTATAAGTGGAGCAACCCTGAGTGGACAGCACTGAAAGAACGTTCCGAACAAATATCACTTCGAAACTATCGCCGTAAAACAAAGCTCGAAACCAATTTATTTATTCTTTTGCCGCAAAAAACCAATTTGTTTTCCATCAATTAGAAAAGAAACAGATTTATTTTATTGAGAGAGAAAAAGCACAACGAATCAGGCATAAGCTGAAAAAAATAAACAGGGAGAAGCTTAATCTGTCAACTAATTGCCACATGATAAAAGCTGTCTACTACTTGCTGAGTGCTATGATTGCCTGGATTTAGTTAAGCGCATGAAAGTTCATATGTGTTTATTTGGTATTGTAGAGGTAGATTTTTTTTCTATAGTCTTGATCAAAGTGCAAATGTTTGACTTTTCTATACAAAATACAGTATACCTTAATGTTTAAAGGGATGTAGTTGTAGAAAACTGAATATACTCTCACTTTCATATGGACCATACGTCCATATGGAAGTTTGAAATAATCCAATGGCTAATGGCTGTTCAGATCTGTTCCCCGCTTCGTCCTCCTCGCAGTCGCCCCCTCCCCCTTCCCCACGATGAAATTTGGAATGCCCTCGAGCGCCGCCGACACCCCGCCACACCCCCGCGAGAGAAACGACCGAGCTTGAAGCACCAACGCGGCGCCCTCGTCGCCGGTCGCCGTCCTCGTCGCGGTCGCCGCCCTCGCCGGCCATCCTCGTCACCGGTCGCCGCCCTCGTCCCCCAGCTCCACCCATGCAACAGCTGCACCTCTCTAGTTGCAGCTCCGCGTGGCGATGGCTGTAGCTCGGTGGCAATACAACACCACCCATGCCGTCGACTGCCATGCCAGGTTGAAGCTTTTTTCCATGGCCGTTGAAGCTTTTTTTAAGGTTGAAACTTTTCACAAAACCGTTGAAGCATTTTCACACATCGGTTGAAGCTTTTTCCCCGCCGCTCGAAGATATTTTTTCACGGTTGAAGCTTTTTATACACGATTTTACTGCAAACGGCACGTCGAAAATGCTACAAACCAATGGCCATTTTTGCTACAACCAAGGAGACGACGAAAGTGTGGCCGGCGACGACCCCCGGTGGTTGTAGCAAAAATTACCGCCGGTGGTAGCTTTTTTCGCTGCCGGTTGAAGCTTTTTCCCCTTACGATAGAAGCTTGTTGAAACTTTTTTCATTTTGAGCAACGCCTGGGTGAAATCTTCTTCTATCGTTCGGTTGAAGCTTTTTTCATCGAAGGTTGTAGCATTTTCTGTAGACGGTTGTAGCTTTTCTCTATGGCACTGAACGCTTGCAGCTTTTTTTATATCCGGTTGAAGCTTTTCATCTAGAGTTCGAAGCTTTTTTTTAGCGGTTGCAGCACATGGGGGGCTGTGCACGGGGTCTGCAGTGCTTCGCCTGCAGGTTCGCCGGGATACGGCGCCCCCAGCAGCGGCGGCCGTGGGTGTCAGGACCGCGGCATCGTCATGGCCGTGGCCGAGGCCTGCGAGGAGTTGGCTTGTCACCGGAGATAGCGGCCATGACACAGAGGAGCTTCCTGCGAGGAAGAAGGAAGGGATGAGTACGGACAGTTAAGAGGATAAGGTTGCGTAAAGAAAAAAACGATTCGTGGGCCTAGCTGTATGGAGCACGGAGGGATCGCGAGGCGTACGATTGAAAACAGATCTCGCGGCTCGCGCTCGACCGGCGTTGCGTTCGGCCGGTGCGCCGAACACAAACGTTTCCCATGGCTAATATTGCTCCCCCCCTCTAAAAATCTCATCTTTTAGGGGATTGAACTTTTCTTCATCTAGAATATCCCCCAAAGCTTAATCCTTTTTTTGCCAATTCATCCACATGTTTTCAAACTTATCACAACTTATTAATTCAGAACTTGCAAATTCAAGTACACACAATTCAAATGGAAATCGACTTTAATGTTTTAAAAATTAACCATTCAAATTCAAATAGTAACAACATATGGTCCAAATGAACTAAGAATCCAAATAAACATGATAAAAGGGCTATGAAGTTGCGAGTGGTGCTCACTAAGATGTTGAAGTTGGTTGTGAGCTTGTTGGTTCTTGTTCCTTCATGTGCTTGGATCCTATTATGGTGGCGTTTCGGCTTCACCCGGACACCATTGTAGTCGCAAGCCCTTCGGGTCCTCTATCTCATCTTCGATGATCATGTTGTGCAAGGTCACACATGTTTATCATGATATGTCGAAAAGTGTTTTTGAAGCGCACAAAAACCTCTCTCAAATCATCCTTGAGAATGCTGGATTGTCTTCACAAATGTGACCCTGGAGGATAGATAGCATTGGCAAGGTAGTATCCCATGGTATACTCAGGGCCAATGACAACATAGTTGCAAGGTGGAGTGTCACCGGCAAGATAACTAGCAAATAGAGGAGATCGTTGGAGGACATTAATCATTGTGAGAGTTAGGCATCACAAA